TTATATATATATATATATATATATATATATAATTCAAGCCATTTTTTTTTCTCTTACAAATTATTTGAAGTTTTTATCTCAAGAGTATTAACTTCTAATTATAATTTTTTACTATTACATTTAATCTATTAAATTTGAATTCTTGATTTTTTTTAATGTATTCAAAGATGAATACTAATATTATTATCATTATAACCAATCATAAAATAAAATTGGCATTTCTATAAATAAAACTTTCTTGAAATTAATGTTAGAGAAACACACGTAAGTTCCTTCACAAACAACAAGGTATTTGTGCTACAATTAACAAGTCGTAAGATTGATTGAAGTTTTATATTAAAATTTTATTTGCTATAATTTTTTTATTAAGCATTGGTGAAATTTCAAAGTCTTGTTATTTTTTGTCTTATGAAAGATTTTAATATTTCAAATTTTTTATTTTGATTTGCAAGGGTTTCTCCACATCCACTCAGTGTGAAAGAGATTTATTGTTTTGACAGTAGCATCCTAATCTAGGGGTTTGGCTGCGTGCGGGTGGAGGAGAACTATTTTTTGGGTTTGGTTGAAGCACATAAAAAATTTTCTTGTGTGTTTTATATTTTATTCACCTTAATTTGATAAAACTTTCTCAAATTATAAATCATTTAAAATATCTTTATATTTTATTCACCTTAATTTCATAAAACTTTCTCAAATTATAAATCATTTAAAATATTTTCTCAACAAATTGAATTTTTATAATTTTAATACATCAATTCACCCACCTTTGTTGTGTCGTAAGCTTTAATTAGTATCAGAGTGAGGGTTCCAACTTTTAGGTTTAATCACATAAGAGTAGATCAATTATGACACATGGTTTTCCAAACGATTATTTACTCGATGACCAATCTACTCACAAGCCACAACTTCTAGATTATGTACCTTTCGACTATTGGAAAAATAGAATGCATATTTTCTTACGTGGTCAAAACACTAGGATGTGACATGCTTTCACAATAATATCATGCATCCACTATAGAGATAAATGACATTAGAGTTTAGAAACCCATTAATGATTAGGCTTAACCCAATTCAAAACTCGTTCAACTTAGTGCAAATGTAATGAATATTTTATTTTGTGCACTTAAACCTAATGATTACAAATAAGTATCTACACTTAAAGTTGTATGAAATATGGGATAAACCTGTCATTACTTATGAATGCACAAATGAAGTTAGAGATGCACATATTAATTGATTAGTACATGAATAGAATCTATTTCGCATGAAACCCGAAGAAAATATTTCAGACATGTATAGATGTTTCTTGAAAATTATAAATGCTTTATACCTTTTGGTGGACCTTAAAAAAATCATGATCTTGAGCATAAAATCTTCATATGCTTCCCTAAATATTGGGATACTAAAAATACTGCTATTAGTCAAGCTAGGGCTTTGAGTACCTATCTACTTGATTAGCTTCTTGGTTGTTTAATAGCTCATAAAAAAAACTATTGATGCAAGGGATTTGGGCGATGGCATAAAGAAGAAAACTAAAAGCAAAGGCATGGCTTTGATATCTACAGCAGTTGATGAAACATATTCAGGAGATAGTGAATTAGAGACTGAAGAAGATATTAAGAAAGAAATTGTCATGTTCTAAAAAAAATTCAACTATTTGGTGAAATAAAAAAAACAAATTCAAAGATAACCGATGTAGGGAAATAAAATTTTTTTATGCAGGCATAAAAGATAAAAATTTGGAGTGATATGATATAATTGTAAGATGTCAAGAGACATCAAATGTGATTGCCCAAACTATATTGAAGAAAAGAAAGATTCATTGAAAAAGAAAGAAAGGAAAATAAAGAAGAAAGAAATGAAGACTATATAGATGAATTTGGATAGCAAGGCCAACTCTAGTGAGTCGGAGAAGAGGAAGTAAATCTCTGTCTTATGGCGGATCATAAAGATAACTCGACATATATCCAAGTGTTTGTAAATGATAATGATGTATCATATAAAAATTTATATGATGAAAAAAATGAGTTACATGGTGAGCACAATAAATTAAGAAAGCAACGCATTAAGCTAGAAAAATATCATGTATCAATATGATAAAAGTCGAACATGAATTACTCAAGAAAAAATAATAATAATTCTAAAATTACTCCATGTGATTATTCTGCATTAATTTTAGAATTAGAATTTTAAAATAAATCTCTTAAGACTAAATTAAATTTATTGCCAAAATCTCACTCTAATAGAAATGCATCATTTAACAAACTAGATATTAATTATCATACATATGCTCATATCAATCGTCCATATTTTTATCACTAAGTAAAAAGAACACATAAAAACATGATTTTGTGGTGTAACTATTATAACAAGCATGACCATATATCTTTTGATTGTTACGCTAAGTGTGCACGGGCAAGTTATATTTTGAGATAACTACAAAAAGAAAGCCATTGAAATTGGTTCCATGGGCAAAAACTTATCCAGTATAGAAAAAATCTTATTAATTGATGATCTCAATCATAATCTTTTGATTATAAGCCAATTATGTAATAAATGTTATGACTTTAGTTTTTATTCATCATATTGTTTGATTAGAATAAATGGTTTGATTGTTTTGTTGAAAATATACATAATAATAGATATTGATTTATTAGATATTGATTATTTAGAAATTTTAAATCATTTATTTTCTAAAGCAAGCATTGAAGATGCTTGGTTGTGGCATACAAGACTATCATGTCAGTATAACTTACATTCAATAAAATCTCAAAATTAGATATTGTAATTGGTTTACTAAAGACATGTATGTGATGCATGCTAGCATGGAAAACAAGCCAAAATATCTTATCAATGTATATA